AGAGCGCTTGCCTAGCATGTGTGAGGCACAGGGTTTGATTCTTAGCACCCACATATAAACAAATAAAATAAAGGTCCACTGACAACTAAAAAAGATTTTTTTAAAAAGTTGAAAAATATTTTCTATAAGATATAAACTGACGGGGCTGGGGTTGTGGCTCAGTGGCAGAGCGCTTGCCTAGCATGTGTGAGGCACTGGGTTCGATTCTCAGCACCACATACAAATAAATAAAATAAAAAATTTCCTCAACAACTAATAAAAATAGTTAAAAAAAATCTGAGGTTTTAAAAAAAGATATAAACTGACAGTTTGGAACTGTTTAGGAAGATAGAAGAGAAACATGAGAATTATAACTGGGACAAAATATCACATATTACAGACAAATTTTGTTTATAAAACACTATTAAATCTAGTCTTTGAATTGTGGCAGAGTAGTTTGCTATGGTTGTGCCTAAAGTAATTAAGTACACATTGAGATAAAAGACCCAGACTATGTGTGCTGCTTCTCTTTGTTGTGTCAGGACACGTGTATTTTTGGACTCAGAAAACTTTTAAGGGCTACTCTCTAAATTTAATTTCTGACTATAAGTAGGAGTATAGGCTATTACTGTGACATTGCCTTATTACTTTCATATTCTCTCAGCTGACTCTCTTTGCTCTGGGAAACTTATAAAACTAGAAAAGAAGTTTCTTTGAAGTTGACTGTTTGAATGAGGAGTATCTGATACTCATTGATAAGCTTATCATTTAGGAAATGATTGGAACCTGAAATAGCTCAGATTTTAGAGTGTTTTGGGTTTGGGAATAATTGTATAAACTTTACTTTTTGAGCATCACTAATTTAAAGTCCAAAACTTTTTGAACATTGACATGATACTTAACGTATACTTCTGATACTCCTTGACTGCTGGTATGAACATTTGGATGTTAACTCTGTGGACTTGGTAGTCATTTACTTTCATTTCATTAGATTTGAGTTTGGAGCCTCAAGTCCTACTGTAGTTTGGGCAGATTCTTTAATACAGTCAGTCAACAGCCAGATTTACTTAAGATTCCTGAAGAATCTGAGAGGTCTGTATTAGGCTCTTACCAGTGTGCTTCTTTCCCTCTCCTAAGTTTGTCTGTCTTCGTAACAGGATTTTTCTTACCCATCTTTTAGCAATGATTTTGTAGAAATTCATATAGTTAAGAAAACATAAATTCATTCTAAGGCCTCAAGTGAAGTTGAAAATAGTGCTGTTGGCTAAATAAACAGGTTAGAAGGTAATTTGTCTGAAGGAGTAGCTTTCATTTCTTTCAAGTCTCATAGCAAACTGTGGGATTATCTTTATAACTGAATCATCCTTTTTGAGAATTTTTATAAGAAATGTGTCAGATTGGGTAGAGAGAAGTGATGGGAGGGGAGGGGGATAGGAAGGGCAACAGAATAAAATAGACTCTAGTATTGCTGTATGTATATACATGTTTATATAACCAATGTGATTCTGCATCCTATACACTCAGAAAAATGAGAAATTATACCCCATTTGATTCAAATGTATGATATGTCAAGATCATTGTATTCTCATGTGCAACTAATAAAAAAAAGCAACAAATATATATATAGGCAGTATTTGACATGTGTCGTGATGCTCAAGGGTGATACACACACCTACCCATGTAAAAATGGCACTCAAATAATGAGAAATATGAACAAGTTTGGCTCTTGTGACTTTACTATCTCCCAGTATATGGGTATTTTTAAATACTTATTATTCTGCCAGTATATTATGTACATTAGAAATCACACAATAGAAATCTTAAAATGTAGACATTCTAATAGTGTCTTTTTGTATTCTGGTTAATCTTTGCAGTTACTCTAGTATCAGGATATAGACTGATACTCCTTTCCCTGTAATAGCAACAGCTGCAAAGCCAACCAAAATGGTGTGAGCATATGAGGGAAACAGTGATCTGTCCAGGCTAAAATATGTTTTGTAGTATAACTATAGTTATAGTAGTATAAAGTAGTGAACTATAGTAGTGCAGAGAGTTTTGAAATAGCCTGAGTTAAATTGGGTCTCCAGAAGGAATTTATACAAGTGTATCCCACTCCAGACAAAATAATACATGGGAATCTGAGCTAAATAGATTTTTATTTAAATGAAACTTAAGTGGTATTATAGATACCTGTGTACAAAAAGAATTTTTTTTTGAAAGAGAGAGAATTTTTTTTAATATTTATTTTTTAGTTTTCGGCGGACACAACATCTTTATTTGTATGTGGTGCTGAGGATCAAACCTGGGTCGCACACATGGCAGGCGAGCGCACTACCACTTGAGCCACATCCCCAGCCCCCTAAAAGGATTTTAGGAAGTACTTGACAATGGTTCCTTGATCTAAAAAAACATATTTTTTTTTTAGTTGAAGTTGGACAAATACCTTAATTTAATTTATTTATTTATATGTGCTGCTGAGGATCGAAACCAGTGCCTCACAGTACTAGGTGAGCGTTCTACCGCTGAGCCACAACCCCAGACCCCCATCATAGATTTTATATATCCTTGGTCTTATATATTCTTTTTCTTTGGAATTCTGTTGGAGGTGAGTGCTGAAATTGAATCTTTTTTTCTGATTTCTTGTTAGGTGGTTGATTCAATGGATGCATTAGATAAAGTTGTCCAGGAAAGAGAAGATGCATTAAGGCTTCTTCAGACTGGTCAAGAAAAAGCTAGACCTGGTGCTTGGAGAAGAGACATCTTTGGAAGAGTCATCTGGTACATAGATTACATTGTGATCATCTAAGATGAGAATGGAGATCCCATATCTCATTTGCTGTCCACTATCTTTTAATAATATTAACTCTGATCATTTCAGAGATTTATCTTATGTAAGAAGAGGACCCAGACCTCTTTGCAACACTAGGATATGGACTGCAGGTCACTTTGATAAAACCAATAGCAGCTCAACTATCCCATTCTCATGATTGTTATGTATGTATAGGTTTTTTATAACATTGATTCTTATCTTTTGTCATGGGATCTTTTGAGAATTTTTTGAAAGCTCTGGATCCTTGATCCAGGAACATAAACATATACACATATCATTTCAAGTTATAAGATTCTTGAAGCTAATTTCAGGACACACCACTGCCCTCTCTACCCATTAAGAACATGCAACTTAATAAAAGTTCTGGAGGAATAAGTTAATGATTATGCCTCCTATTCTCTACTACATACAGAATTTTTGTCATACTTTGTGAAAGGCTCTAATAGTACACTGAGTCATAAATAATTGGCCCAGGGCAAATAAACCTGTCCTCTGGTGTGTACTTATACTTGAGTTGAGAAGCCAAAATGAAGTTTTCTTAGTAGTATTTTAAACATTGGACAGCAAAGGGGAGAAGGCATTTTGGGTGATTATTAGACCTTACTGTGCTCTTGAAACACCACCACAATATTATGCACCTACTCATTTTCTTTTTATTTATTTATTTATTTTTGTAGTTGTAGATGAACATGCTTTTATTTCGTTTATTTTTATGTGGTGCTGAGGATCCAACCCAATGCCTCATGCATGCTAGGCAAGCACTCTACCACTGAGCTACAGCCCCAGCCCTATGCACCTACTCATTTGACAGGTTGTTTTAATGGACTGCTTGGAGCCATAGGAGAGTAGCTGTGCTGTCTGTAACCATCTAATTCAACACAGAAAAGAGAACTTGTCAAAACAACTAAAAACTTAGGGACAGAATGTAGCTCAGTGGTAGAGCATTCATCTACCATGCTTGAGGCTCTATATTCAATTCCCAGTACTGCTTTAAAACAACCAAAAAATATTTATTTTTTAAACTTTTATTTGGATTAATTTATTTGACATGAATTAGGAAAAGCTGGAAAATTAGTAAAGTGAAAATATGTTAAGTATTTTCTATAAAGAAGTAACTTGTTTTATTGGCAGGCACAAGTTCAAGCAGTGGCCTATACCTTGGTACCTAAATAAAAAATACAATAGGAAACGATTCTTTGCAATGCCTTACGTGGATCATTTTCTGAGGTGAGCACAAATATCTTTAATCATAATGAAACAGCATTTTTAACATCAGTTGACATATATTAAACTTTGTTTTGTTATATTATGAAAGTATAACCTATTCATTGTGGAAAAAATAAGAAGATTAATTAATAAAAGAAAATTAAAGTCATATGTAATCTCACTATCCAGAAATAGCCACTGTTAACAATAGTTAACAATACTATCAAAAGTTCTATTGCTTTTCCATCTATCTGTATATAAGTAAATGGGAAAATCCAACTGTAATGTTAAAATGCAAGCTCCAAATTGCACAAAATATGAGCTCATGTTATTACAAGGTTAATGAAAACAAAGACTAGGGAGAGAAGTCTGTTGCATTATGTATGAAATCATGCAAGCCTGCAGAAAGTTGATCATGTATTTTCCGTAGCAAATTCTCACGTAAGTTGATCGTTGAATAGGGAAAACATAAGACTGATATTACGATAGAGAAATGAAGTAGTCCCAAGAACCACCGCCTGATAATTAAAAATAATTTTTCAATTTTTTAAAATGCTTTTTAAAAAATGCTTATTTAAAACACTGGATCCACATCTAAAAGCATGGTTTTATCGTCGAAAGTAATTTTTTTAGCCTTCAAAGAATGTAATCTTCAAAACATTCTTAATAGAAAAACTTTCTTTCACTCAGATGAGTTTTTGTAAATGGCCAAAATCTAATTGGATCAGACTGATGAATGGATAATATTTCAACAATTTAGTCTGTGTGTATATATCTATATCTATATATATGTATGTATATGTACACACACACAGACACACACACAC